CAATTGACTCATTCAATTGAATTCTATAATCTGTTCGAGCTTGATTTGCTTGCTTATCGAGACATGATTGACTACTTTGCTCTTGATTCTTGAATGATTCATATTTAACTCGAATCTGATTGTGTGCACTACTTGAAGCCCCAACATGTTTTCTAAGGTATTCTTTCTTTTTCCAATTTGAGAAACTATCGTTAAGAAGGAAACCACCACTCAAACTGAAAAGATAGCAGTAAAAACAAAAAATTGCATCTTTCATTATACTATATTCCAACGGTAGGATGCTCATTATACCATGAAACACAAAATCGCATGTATTTGTTACCCATTTTTGTGAGTGGAAACACATGATTGCGAGGCTGACAAGGACCCCTTTGCACATATACTCTTCGAATCACATCTCGATCATTAACATCATAATCCTGTATTGAAACTCTCAATCCAGGATCGGCGAGAAGATGTACATCACCGACTTCTCCAACATCCCCAACATCAACATTATTTTTATCACTTTTGACTCGAAAATTCCTTTCATTAGTATTTTACTCATCACAAGAAAGCATAGATTTACGTTTAAAGTATTTGCCCATAACTGATACAAACAAAAAATTAACCACATTAGAAGTCCCTAAATCATTTTCTTCTTCTCATAAGTCATACCAACCAAATTTCAAACATATTAATTAGCAAGTTTCGATCTTCCTCAATCCCTAAAAGCCCTAATCAGAAATCCCTAACTATCAATTTCCAAAAATCCCTAAATCAGAAAACACAATTAATGGCAACATTGGAAAGTCGCACACCTTCAAGAGGATAGCAGTCAGCAGTGGCTAGAGCTAAGGCTGATAGGGGAACACAACAGTCACGCATAGACAGCCGCAATCGGTAGCTACGCAGTACGTACAGACGCCGCATATGCAATCACGCACAGATGGGCAATCACGTACAAATGGAATATGGACGGCGAAATGGTAACTACCGGGCCGCCGGCGGATGCGTGGGTAGACGACGGAGCTTGGAGCAGGAAGAGAGAAAATTGATTAGAAGATTGGTGGCTGGTCGTGTGGCCGTGTGGTGTGGAAAGAGTGGGAGAGAGGAGGGGAGAAAATGAAGGGTTTGAATCTTCATTTTTTTTTCTTTTCCTATTTTAAAAAAAAAAATTCAAAATCTAGGGGGTCACGTGACCTCCTAGGCCACCCCCAGTCCGCCCCTGTGAGAGAGAGAGAGGGGGGAAATAAGAATATTAAAAAAAGAATAATAATTATAACACGTTGAATAGAAATAAATATTATTTTTTTTGTATAATGACTCTAGGGTTCGTAAAATGAAAAAGGATTGAGAAATATTATGGAATGAAATCTATGGAAAGTCTTTAAAAATTTAGCCAAATACACCCATTATAGACAAAAAGGAAAATGTTTAAAAGTATGAATACTGTTATCTAAAATTATTGTTGTTACAACACTAGCGTAGACGGAAATAGAGGTAAAATTATGTTACTCATTAATTGTTTATCTCATTTAATGTCACTTTGTGACACCAATAATGTTAAATACTAGCACTAAATCTAACTGTACTTTCACTTTTCAAGTTCAGCTATAAATATTGTCATAATGTTTTTCAAATTATTTATAATACGGCATCACACCAAACAAAATAAAGTATAAGAATACACCTTAATTCATCGTAATCACTACTCTTGCTTTCGAAAATGATAAAGCCCCAACTGAAGATTCAACATATTTAGGAAAAAAAAAGAAACTAAAAAGACAATTATCGACTCAACATGTGGGACCCGACAAGATCGTCAAGCGCAATATTCTAAAATCATTAGTCGTTTTTCATTTCTCTCCCAAAAACTTTTTTCTCGCGAAATTTTCTACAAAATCTACTTAGGATTTAAAAAATCAAATTAATTTGAATTTTCTTAATTTCTTCTAATAATCATAGTTTACATATAATATATTGTTATTATTGGCAATGTTGCCACTTACCATATTTTATTATGTTGGGGTCATAATCATAGCTTAGGACAATAAAACTAGGAGGTAACTAATCATTTTGTCCAAATTAAATTATATAATAATTTCAACAAAATTTCAGACTTTTTGACTTTTTCCCCCCTTAATTTCAGATCTGATCCATGATATGGGGAAGAATATTTCTTTCGGTGCCCAAATCAAATGGCAATTTGGAATTTTGACAAAGTAAAAAATTGTGGTTAAACAATGATTAGAAGCCATTTTCAAGAGAATTAATTTTAATTTTAAGGTTGGTCCATTACGATTAGGTTTAAATTGTTGATAATGAAATTATCTACTCATCCCATCATAGAATTTATTTTTTTTTTGGTCAAAAGAGTCTTTTTCTAGACTTAAAAAACAACATTTGACTTTCTATTTATTTCGATAATTGATCTTCAACAATTAGAAGTTCTGGATATACAGAGACGAATTTTATTAGAGATTATATGTCTCGCATTCATGCCACAAAAAGAGAAGAAAGAAAATTGATAGTCTTACTTGCGCTCTCTGACATAGACGATGGCAAATGACGAAAAGTGGTGACAATTTTTAAATTTTATTACTTATTTTTAAAATACTATAGTTGTTTATTTGAACAATTTAGTCATCATAACATTAACAAAATTAGACGAAACTCCTACGTCGTAATCATTATATTAACAAAATTAAAATTTAAGAATCAAATTTGAAAATAAAAGGGAACAAAAATCTAACGGTGCCACTATTTCAAAACAAAATTTTTAGTAGATATTGATAGAAGTTGATAAAATGTGCGAATTTTATAAAAAAAAAAAAGTGATTAAAATTACCAAACAAACAGGGTATTAAAAAAATTATGTGGATATATAGGGATTTAGTGTAGGGTTACAATAATCAATAATTGCAAATATTGGTATATATACTATGAATGGAACAGCACTACCAAGGATAAAAATAATAAAATATATAATAATTAGAAAAATAAATGAAGTTGAGTTTCAAAGGGCAAAATGATTAATACACCTTTTCCGACATGCGTAGCGGGAGGCTTTAAATGACTAGACCCCACACAAAATAAGCTGAATTTAGTGTTCTAAAATGGTCGTGTAGGCCGTGACTAGGTTCAAAGTTCCGAAAAAACGCCCAACTTAGCGTCCTTTTTTTTTTTTAATTCCTAAACTGTTAAATTTTTTCCTTCATCTCTTTCGTCTTCCTTAGTCGCGCTTTATTAGGTTTTTTTTTTTAAAGTTTTTTCTATTTGACTTTAACTTATTAATTTATTTTATTTTTTGAAAAACAACTTTTCATTTGACTTTAATTTCAAAAATTTAAAAGATTTTATCTGTATAAAAGTTAAGAATGGCTTTATCTAAACCCCTATTTGGTGCACATTTTGGGTAGAATAATGCATTTTTTTGATGTGATGGATGAAGAATATGTGGTTGAAAAAAAAGAAAAAATTATTGATGTGATGGAAAATATTATTTTATTGAAGAATGTGTGGTTGAAAATAAGTAGAAGAATGAAAATAAAAATATTAATGTGGACCAAACATGGGCTAAATAGTTAAATAAAATTTAAGATATAGTGTTATCTATATTATGTAATTATGATCTTGAGACTAGTTATTTTGTTGCAAATTTCAAATGCATGTATGAAATTCCTATAACTCTATTAAATATGATTTTTCCAGTTGAAAGTTGAAATTATGAAAAAAAATTCTAATTTTCGCATTTCAAAAATTTGAAAATCGTATAATTGAATAAATGTAGGAAATATTAAGTAAATATAGTACTTTATAATTTTAGACATTTGATATGTATTATTTAATTATTAAATGATTTAAAATTTAAAATAAGAAAACGCATTTTTTTTTATGCCTAAGCAAGCTCAATTAAGCTCATGAAGCTTCGTCTTCGCGTCTAGCCACGTTTTACACTTTTTAGAACACTGATTCAATTCTAAATAGGACATTGTAAAAAACAGCACCTCAAATATAATTTTGTTGTCCCTTTTACACATCGTTACAATTTTGAGGTGCCAAAATATTAGTAAAATACAAATAAAATTTTATTTGTGGTGTTAAAATTTCGAATAGTGAACAAGTCAAACCAGAGAAATTGTTGTACATAAGATTTAAGTCCACAAAAAACTAGGGCAATAAATGTATCGAACTTTGACTTGAGAGATATTTAACACGTTTAATTGAATTCAACTAAAGAAGAAAAAAAACAAGTGACACAAATTTATCGAATGTTACATGAAATCACAATCATTTCAAATATTTATATGTAATAAATCTGATATTTATCTTGTCCAATTCTGTATATTCAATCGTGTTAATTGACAATTGCTTTGGATTGTTGCAAATTAACCGAAATGTACTCTTTTTATGGTCAAAAGAAAAGTCCAAATTTGTTTCATCTAATAATCTATAAGAAAAAATCAAATTAAAACCATCATACTCTATTGTTGATGAATTCTTGTAACGGTGCCGTGTAAGCATCTTCACGTTACTCCATTCTTCGCTGACCGCTCAAGTGGCCTGTAAAAGTAGAATAAACCTTTTTTGTTTTTCGTTTCGATTCCCATTTTTGACCCAAATCTCTTATCATAATCTGCTTTCCTTTTAAATATCTGAAGCAATCTTCAAATTAGTTTGAAATTGTTTGGAAAATTCAAAGTCGAACTTCATTTTCTATTTCTCATCTTCCAGTTTCATATCTTTATATGAGTTTCTGTTGACTGCTCTATTGTCTACAAGAAACATCCTTTTCTGGGGTTTGCTCAAAGTTTCAAGATTTTCTTGGAATTTCGCCACATGTCCCGAACGTGGGATTTACTCAAATTTCTGAGAAATCACTGCAAATCTTATCTGGGTTTTGTTTAATTCTCAAGTTTTTCTTGGGATTCCCATAAAGAATTTTTCATTTTTGTCTTATAAACTGAAGATTTGTGGAGAATCCCGTAAAGATTTCTTCATTTTTTTTGTTATAGAAAATGAGAGATTCGGCAGGTATGTTTGGGAATTCTGGTGATACAGGTGTGCTTGAGCTCACAGGGAAAATCATGATGGTGGGTATAATACTCCTTTTCTTCGTGGTAGTCTTTGTCTTTTGTCTCCATCTCTATGCCAAATGGTTCTGGCACCGCCGCCAAGAAAACGCCACCGCCACCACCACAAGCACAAGCCGCCATCGCCGCCGCCTTGATTTTGCTGCTGGGCAACTAGAAGTAACTGTTATCACTGCTCGCCCAGGCCTAGACCCTGCGGTACTCAAAACCATACCTGTAGTTGTATGTGATCCCAAAGAGTTTAAAGAAGGATTAGAATGTGCAGTGTGTTTGTGTGAGATCTCTAATGGTGAAAAGGCCAGGCTTTTACCAAAATGTAAGCATGGATTTCATGTTGAATGCATTGATATGTGGTTCCAATCACATTCCACTTGCCCTCTTTGTCGAAACCCAGTTTCGAATTCGAATCAATCCTCTTCAAATTCTGTAACTACTGAATCTACACTGGAGACTATATTACAAACCCCAATTGGGGAAAATTCAGGTGTTCATGGTACAGATGTTCCAAGTTTCCCTACCAATGTGTTGTTTTGGGGCAATGAAAGTCAGATTAGCATATTGGGTCCTTGTTTGGAGGATGGCAGTGGAATTAGTACCACTTCCACTTCCTCTCAGCCACCTAGTTCTTCGACTTCATCATCGTCATCCCAGTCGCCAAGTTCTTCGACTACATCGTCATCCCAGTCGACTAGTAATAGGCTGGAAGGCACGGTGTTGATTGATGTACCAAGGCAGTTTAATGAAGAGGAAGAACAAAAGTCTCTGGTGCCTACAAGATTGAGATCATTGAAAAGGCTATTGAGTAGTAACAGAAGGATCAATCCTTGCAGTCCTAGAAATGGTGATCTATAAAAAGGAGGTAGAGGCTTCAAAGTTGGTTTATTCATTGTCATTTGTTACTATGTTGATTGGTAGTTACAATGCACATTGGTAGGCGCAAAGTTGTTGGCATTCTAGTCGAGGTTAATCGGTGTTAAAATCGTCTTGTTAAGGCAAGAATTGTCGTTTAGGGTTCGTGGTTTGGATGAGTACTTCCAACACAGTGGTTTGGCACTATTTGAAATTATACCTGGACTCATTGGTGGATTCGGAGACTATCGAAATCTCCATTAACTGCGCTTATTTGTTCAATCTTCTTTAATTCGCGATGCAGATGAGAGGCTGCTCCTTCATATCTGGATTATATATTAAGCATATACAACATGGAAGTGAATATGTTGTTTTTCATACATAGATTGGCTTCTCTGTTTGAGAATGGAATTGTGTCCAATCTTCTTTTACAGAAGAGTTATATATAAATTCTCATGTCAATTCATTAATGGTCTCTTAAATGTACTGCTGAGTTGTTGCAATTATATGAAATTAGTTTCTATTGCAGAAGTCATTCAAGTTTTGTTCTTATGCATTTGATTTGTTGCTTTTCTTGCGTTTGACTGATTTTTGGCAAGTGCTTGATATGTGTTGGTGTCTAAATAATGCAAGAGACCAGTTGAGGAGGAAAGAACATATAGCATATTTAGCAGACCGAGAAACAAATTTCTACTTTACATGTTTGGTAAGAATGATTCGGCATTACTTGACAATATTAAGGGAGAAAAGAGTTAACATTTTGTTTTTTATTTTACTGTTTATGTTAATTACTAGTACTACGTGTCAAACATGCACTAGGTGTTCAAGAATATGAAATGTTTTCGAATCAACGAAGGGGGGTATGAATCAAGCACGCTACGAAGCGTAATTTGTTTGGAGGTGTGAATCCACCTTGCCTCGTAATTCATGCAAGTCCTCCAGCCATTCGTAGATCGCACTACTAGGTTTGAATCCATCTCGCTAGTGTCGTAACTGTCGTTCACGCAAGTTTCCATACACCCATGGATCACGCGAGTATGTATGAATCCGCATAGCTCTCTTTGTTCATGCAAGTCGCCGTTCATCCATGGATCATGCAAGTAGGTACGTATCCACCTTGCTCTCATCGTTAATTCAAGTCCCATCCGCCGATGGACCACACGAGAATGCGTCTAGTTACTGCAAATTGTGAACATTTCTCCATTCCTATGATGCACGGAACCCTTCCATGATTGAGACGTGGACATTGACACTCTTGGACACTATATTACATGGTCCACTCTTGGACACTACATTACATGGGGTTCGACAAGTAACATGTCGTGTCCTAGTTTTTTTATATTTTTAAATTTCTAACTGTCAAAGTATATTGTTGGGACATTCTTCGGGGCTAGTGTGAGACATGACATGTGTCGAGTCGAGTCGTGTCGTGTCCAATATTAAAAAATGTAAAAAATAAAAATATAATATATAAATTTTAAAGAATTTTAGTCCTACTCTTTAGAAAAATCACACACCATCGTATCAGTGTCGTGTCGTGTCAGTGTCCTTTTTCGTGCAACCTAGCTCCATTTTTTGGCCATATTCTGCAGTCATCCGTTCAGCTGCATATTTGAATGGTAAAATGAATACATCAACTCTTAATCAAAGGGTGTTAAAACCAGGTTGTCTTGTACATTCAATACCCTATTTTGGCGTGTATGTACCCCTCTGGTTTTACTACCAAAAAAATTGAGAATGCTAACCAATCGACATTCATGAATCAAGCCAAAATCTTAAAAATTTGGATGTTCTAAAACATATAAACAGGATCACAGTACACGATATTCTTTACTAATCTACACTAAGTCACCAAGTAAACAGGTCCATAAGATTGAACATCTTGAGCATTGTTAAGCTGGCCAAGAGACACATAGGGCACCTCGTCCTCGACTCTCTTGCTTGAGCTAAAAAGACTGGTGATGTGTCCCGATGTTGGCTTCTGGGGTGTGCCAGTAATGCCGCCACCTTCAATTGCATGAACTGGACCCGAGAAAGGACCTCGCCTCAGCTCAGAATCGATGGTGCCCTTTCTTGGAGATTGCTGCACGACGGACTTGTTCTTCTTGTCGGGTTTCAACCAGGAAAACAGGGAATTTTTCCATGATTTTCTGTTCTTTTTCTCCCCATCTAATTGTCCCTTAATTCCCACTTTTTCAATAGGTTCAGTCTTTAAATTCCCTTGGCATTCAGTCCTCTTTGCTTCTTCCAGAAACTGATTGAACTAAAGAATCAAACAAATAGGAAGACACAAATGATACAGCTAAACATTAGGAAACATACCTGTTTAAATCTGCCTGGCAATCAAATTCATAGTCAAAATAATCTGCACTGTCGTATTTCTTGTATATTGGAGACATCATTCTTTCCAAGAAATCAATGACTATCAAAATCACAAAAAGATATCGACTGCGAAAATTATCGAGCAACTACCCGTCAACGCAGAGTATGGTTGGAATGAGACGTCGTTTACAACAACTTCCGGCCAAGAAACCTATGAAGGAGAGTAAAATGCAGATATGAAATTGTGCAATTAATATGATTATAAAAAAGATATTACAATGATTCATTAGCTTTCTTCTTTTATGATTTGGTTCCCAAAATGTAGAGTCCAGCTAAGTATATGTTCATCCAGGGGCGGACGCAGACTTTTTATGTTAGGGGGGCACAATCAAAATTTCAAAAAGTGAGGAAAAAATTAAAGGAAATTTTTTTTTTACAATTGGTTATGAAATTTGTTACTATTGCCAAGAAGTAAAAAAAAAAAAAATTTTTTTTTGTTCGAAAACTATTTTTTCTATTAAAATGATATTTTTTTCCACAATTGATTATAAAATTTGTTTCCATTGCCAAAAAGTAAAAAAAAAAAAAGGGAAAAAAATTTGTTTCCTAAAAAATCATTTTTTTCATCAAAGTTTAGTATTCATTTGACTTCGTTTTACATGAAAATTGTCAACTAAAGTAATTTTTTTTTTTTTTTACAATTGATTATGAAATTTGTTCTTATTGCTAAAAAATAAATATATAAACAAACAATGGAAAATGGGCGCGTGACTCATGACTGTGTCAGGAAGAAAAGGAATTCCAGGACAAAAATGGATCATCAAACAAGTAAAAACTTCTATTTCCCATTGGAAAAAGAGCTGTATCAAACACAGCCTAAGCTTCTTCTCTCTTATCACACCTCATCTTCTCTCTCACTCTTAAAATTCCCAACAACCCCTTCTCTGCAAAACCAAAATAAAGATTGTTTGATGTATTGACGCCCATATATAAACATAAACAACCATATTGTGTATATATATAGAGAGAGAAAGGGGTTAATGGTTGATCCTTGTACAACAGCAATGGCCGCATCTCCATCTCTAACCGGTGGAGAAAAGAAGCACTGGTGGCTTACCAATAAAAAGGTACTTCAAATCCCACATTAATGAAATCAAATTGGTCATGTTTAACATTGAATTCATTCACTTTAATTTGTATTTACACTTGTACTGACCCATTAATTGATTCGTGAAATGCAGATGGTGGAGAAAAAAAAAAAAACTCCAAAATATAGTGGGGCACCTGCCCCACTAGGCCCCACTGTAGATCCGCCACTGTGTTCATCACATGAAATTGCATTATAATTTATTGTAGCTTTTGGTAGTTGGATAGGTAGTGAAAGCTACTAATAAAATTTTATATAAAAATGGTATTAGAGGTCAGTGCCGTGTGAATTAATGCATGCATTTAAAATGGCTAAGTGACACTAATGGAAATTACCTAAACTTTAAGAAAGGGTAAATTTGATCAATGGAAATTAATTAAGCTTTAATATCAAATCAAGTTTGTTGTTGATGATTACTCCTATTGATGATGAAATGTAAATAAATAAATGATTTAATTGCTTTTAGTTTAAGTTTTTAAATAGGACGACTCATCATGCTACAACTATTTGTTTACGAAAAATTTTATGTCAAGCTTTTAATGAAATAATAAACTTGATGTGTGCATGAATGTGTGTTAAATATAGATACGATTAAGTAAATTCTTATTATCATTTTAAGCTTACGATTGAGGTATTTCAACGTAAAAATTTCATTTACGGTAATTTTACTATTACATTATTGTCAATTAGGTAACTACACTTCGCTTCATTTAATCAAGGGAAAATTGCAGTCACGGTACCAAATCTTTCATCTTTATGTAGATTTTGCCCAAACCTTTCATTTGTGTCACCAGAGGTACCAAACCTTTAAAAATGTCGCATCTGGAGTCCGATAGATGGAATCCATCCATTTGACCGTTAGTTGACCACTAAAAAAGAAGAACAACGTTCTTCTTTTTTTCTTTTTAATATTTTTATTTAATTACTATAATATTATTTTATGTAGAATAACATAAAAGTACCATTTTCCCCTTCTACATTAGTCAAAAGAGGTCAAAAAAATTTTAATGGTCAACTAACTATCAAATGGATGGATTTCATCCATCTGGACTCCAACTGCTACATTTTTAAAGGATTGGTACCTCTTGTGGCATAAATGAAAGATTTGGACATAATTTGCAAAAATGTGAAAGGTTTGATACCGTAGCTGCAATTTTCCCTTTGATCAAATAACTATACTTTCGTTTTATTACAATTAAGGTAATCTCATCCAATTACGTAACTTAGAATGATAAAAATCGCTGACGTGGACGTAAATCACTACGTGAAAAATAATTGCACCATCGGTCCAGTAACATGTTGGTCCCCAACTTTTAAAAAGGAGGGAATAGGTCCCATGATGAAAACTGTCCCAATCTCAGTTAAATTATCACATAGCTCTCGTATGTCCAACTTTATGTACTCCAAGATAGATTGATAAACCCTTTTTTGCTTCTAATTGGGAGACATTAATCATGAAGGTATTAGCTATTAATTCAATTAAATTATTAAAAAAAGGAGGGAATTAACACAACTTTAATTATATAATTAGATAATGGTCTAATTAATAAATAGAATTTAATTAGTTGTTGAATATGTGTGTATCTTAAAATAAAGTAAATTAAAAGGTGACCACCTTATCTGTCATCATTAAATTGGTCAATGAAGTAGATGAAAATTTTCATGCCGCATGTTTCGGAGGGTCCGGCGTGTTTCTTTCAAACTTTAGGACGGAAATTAGCTTCTTTGGTGGGTCACAAAAGCCGTAAAAAGTGGTTCAAATCTGCTATCCTTCAATATATTTTTAACATATCAGTACATTAGTAAATGAAAAGATTACAATATGTGAAAAACGTGTTGTCTTATTCCTAAGAAGACATGATTAGGGTTTAGCACGAGTCAGATTGGGTTGGGGTCTAACTGAACTGATCGTTCAGGCAGGAGCGGACGCAGAAGTTTAAAGTTAGGGGGGCACAATTGAACTTGCAAAGAAATTGATAAAAATTTTACAATCGAAAATTTACGTCCAAAAAAATCATACCTCATATAATTTTGCATCCGAAAATTTACATGAGATATGACTTTTTCCGATATAAAATTTCGAAATTTTTTGATGTCATATTCTATATTAAATTAAAAGGATGAAAATTACATTATGAAATTTGTATCGCAAAAATAATAAATGTTGATGAAATAATTGAATTTTTTTTTTAAAAAAAGCAAGTTAGACGTCTTTCTTTAATACTCACGTTTAACGTATTTTTAACTGATTTCGATATCTGTTAGGACTATTCGATATGCAAATAATGTAGTTCTCGAAATAAGCTTTAAGATGACATAAACAATTTGTAGATTCGATTAGTGTACTATTGTTTGAGAATTTTTAAAATTAGCATGTTATCGAAATTCAAATTTATTGTGATTTTGCCCCAATTTGGTGGAGATTAAAATCAATTTTTTAGTAAATTTTGATAAAAGTTAAATATTTATGGATTCCATGAAATGTGTGATTAGAATTAATTGTTAACTTTGATTTAGATTTAAATTTAGTTATAAATCGATACCAAGCATAAATTTATTAAAAAAAAATCAAAAGTTGGGGGGGGAGGGAACGTGCCCCTTGGGTCCGCCCCTGCGTTCAGGTTGGGTAAAAGTCCAACTCGAAATTGACTCGATAGGATTCAATTTTTATGCATGTATACATAACTGAACTTAAAAATCGAGGTTTCAGGTTGAAAATTGCCGAATCCATGGATCATCTAACCTACCAAAGTCCTTCGATTGTAAATACTTTATTATTGAAAAGTAAAAATTGTTCAATGCTCGGTTTCATCTTAGCTTGTATTTGTAATGGCCCGCACGGTCTCCATTGCCTTTCTCTAATCTAAAATGTTATGAGGATACATTTGGAGACTATTTGTAACGACTCGGCCTGGACTATGGCCTTCTGGATTCTACCAGGGGAAAAATTCATAAATAAGGTGTTTAGTTTACACAAATTCAAAAATCATGTTTATAGTTTGAAAATTCAAAAATCAGGTTTTTTTTTAAATTCTAATATAATATAATATAATAAATCCACCCCACATGCACAACCCCTACCGCTTCGGGGACTATTCCGACGATTATTTCAGCTACCACTCTTCTCCGGCAACCACTCTTCTCCGACGATCATTCCGCCGACTATTCCTGCAATCATTCCGATCGCAGATTTATAATTTAATTAGGCACATATTATTTTTCAGTTACAAATAATAATTTTTATACGTCACAGATTATTTTATGGTCACAGTTTAAAAATTTTATAGGTCACATTTAATTCGTTGGTCATAAATTTCAAAATTAGTTAGTCACAAATCAAAATTTATAGGTCACACGGTCACAGATTTCCAAATTAATTGATTACAATTTTTTTACGGTCAGAGATTATATAATTTTTAGATCACAGATAAAAAATGGTTAATTTCATTGGTCACAGATTATTTTTCAGTCACATATTGTCAAATTTTTAGGTCACAGTTAAATACTCGTCACAAATCACATAGACTGTACAGTACCACCTCACCACCACCGTCTAACGTACCATAACCCTACTATGACGCCATTACCATATTCGGCAACTCACCACAACCACTGTCGCTAACGGCGCCAACACAACCGCAACTCACCATAAGCGTTACCATCGCCGCCAAAACAGCCTAACCCATTGCCACTAGTGGTGTCAATGAGCCGAGCCGGCTCGGCCCTTAAAGCCACGAGCTCGGCTCGGCTCGTGACTCATTAATTTTTTTTTTTTTTTAAAGCTTTTCTTAGCTTTTTTTTTTAATGGTTTTTTCACAAGCCCATGAGCTCGGCTCTTGGGCGGGTGCCCACGAGCGCTCGTCTCCTTAACGACTCAGCTCGAGCTCGAGCTCGTGCTCGGGCTCGTCTTTTGACCAGCTCGAGCGACTCGTGGGTCGCTACAGTACGAGCGGCCGAGCCGCTCGGTTAAATTGCCACCACTAATCGCCACAACCACGCAGATCAGCCACCACAACGTAAACACCACCAAAAAAATTGAATCGAAAAATACCCGTCGAAACCCCCGCAGCCAAAACCACCACCGCATCCCAACCCACCAGATCCACCACCATCGTCACAACCGCGCAGATCCGCCACCACAACGCAACCACCACTAAAAAATTGAATTAAAAAATACCATAGCCACTGCCACTGCCACACCAACACCATTGTTGAGAAGGAAACGAGAGGAAGATGGGTTGATGAAGGGAGATGCGGCGCTGATTTTCTACTGGTGAGACCTTTCGATTATTGGCCAGACGTAGCCAGGGTTGGAGCCCTAACACGGTGCCGTAGCTCCGACGGATCATCGCACCACCATCGGGCAAAAACCCACCATCACCGAACCCCGCCACCGTCAATCTGAGTCCTGCAGCGACGATCATTATCTGAGCGCCACTGTGGTTTCACTGGCATCCAGCCGAACTCATCGCCGCCAGCGTTAGCGACAGAGATCATATAGAGAAGCCCCTTCCCGCCACCAGAGAGAAAAAGAGAGAAGGGGAAGGGATTGGAATGTGAGAAGTTAGGGAATTACGTGTATATAAATTAATTTTTAGAATATTATTATTAATATTTAATTAAATATAAAAATCTGTATCTATCTATAAAATATCTGATTTTTGAACATTAAAACTTAAAATCTGATTTTTGAACTTGGATCTTGAAAAGTAGGACTGCATGTAATTTCCACTTCTACCAAAGCCTGACATGGTCCGAGAGATTAAGACTAAATTCGGTGGATCTTCTAAAAAACGTGCCTTCTATTATGACAATTAAGACTCAAGTGACTTCTATTATGTTCTTGGATACAAAATTCTCTAGTATATTTATGAACGAGGTGCCTAAGACATCTATATGGAATTCAAGATTTAAACTCGAATAACAACCATTTTAATTTTCAATAAGAAAAGAAAATGA